TTCTCCCTTCCCTCCTCTCTATTTCTTTTTTGGTTTTCCCTGTCATATAAAGTACTCTTGAACTGCCAGTTAAAAAAAAAAAAGTCTTAAAAATCAAGTTGTTCTAGACAACGTCAACAAAATCCTCCAAAACCAAGAGTCAGCTCATTTTTCAACATGCAGCCCTAAGGTGTAAAACAAACCAAACTGCAAGGACACAAACACGACAGCTCTGGGAAAGCAGATAGATATCTCGGGCTAGGCTGCTCTGGTAAAGAAAATAAAACAGAAAGAACTGTGAGAGCAGCTTGACAGCTTTTTTTAGTGGAAAGTGGCAATAGGAGCATCAGTCTGTTGCTAGTGAATACTGTACAGGCTCTAATATCAATGGTTAAGTATAAATGATAATGGAGAACCATGGCATTTTAGGAGAGTTTGTCTTAACTCTTTATCCTATTATCATCCTTTAGCCACTGCCGATAGAGTGATCCAAGGAAATGCACAGACTCAGATGACAATTACTAGACCAAGAGAGCAAGCTCTCTGCTTCCCTCCAGACAGCCTTAATCACTTAGCATTTCATACTTGTTGTGTTAATGTGGTATAATACTTCCTTAAAGTTTAGAATCCTGGAAAAATATCCTGGAAAATACTAGGTTTAAAGCAAGCCAGAAATTTAAAATGGATGTTGTAGGGAATTAAGAGATCCTATGAGGGCAACGCTGGTACAACATGCAATGTATTTTAATCATATACCAGCTTCCCCTATTCGTGCCACCACCACCACCACACACTTCTTGCTTTCTTTATTTTGACTTGGCCACAGATAACTCTTGGTCATAGTCTGTCAAGGCAATTTGTTAATGTGGAGCAGAGGTGAGGATGAGCACAAGCCATTCTCTTTTTAGGAATGCTGCTGCAGCTAATCTAGTTTTTGAGTCACTTTTTTAGACATATGCTCAGTATACTGGCTTTGCAACACAGTCTGCCAGCTGCTCACCCAGCCAGGAGAACTTGAATAAGACACAAGCAGATATGACAGATCAGGTCTGCTGGTCTAAAAAAATTTTGCAAACATTTGACTTCTCCTTTGAAAGACAAAGCATACAGACAACAACTTCACAAATGTAGGGAACTGTTCCTTAACAGAGTGGTAAGTCCTAATAACCTCCTTTTTTTCTGAATTTATTATCTGAGACATGTAAGGAATGTATTTTATTCTGTTTGACTTTTTTCTAATACAGTTGTGTTACAGTTTGAAAAAACTTGACCTAACTAAACCAAAACTGTCTTATTTAAATTATGCACAATGATGTGGTCTCTTAAATTCTTGGAACTTATATTTGGGAGGAATAATGTCTACTAATTTGTCTAAAGGACAAGTAGTTCATTTGTCTGTAGCTCAGGGAACTCATATTAAGTAGGGAAACCAAATTTTACCTTTGTCATGATGCATAAACTGGAAGGTATACATTTCAAATGTTGATAATTCTATTAGAAATAGATTCCTCTTGGTTTTGATCTCTCTCTTGGCCTGTAACGTTGTTACAGATTAACATTATGTGTGTGTTGTGTAATGAATGTCCAGTCCAAAACATGGTAATGAATCTCTATGCTGTCTTTAATGGGAAATAAACCAGGCTCTTACTTTGTCTAATGGAAAGTAAATTTCTTATTTATAATACGCTTGTATCTATCTAATTGGAAATAATTTTTCCCAGCTACAGCATGTATTGTTATTCTGTTTTTCTTAACTAAAACAAGTACTTCTGGAATTGCTTTTATTTCCTGCACAATATATTCTTTTCTTACAGAATGTGCACACTCACAAAGGTATTTGCTGTCTGAATGGCAAATAACTGTTACCCAGATGGAAAATAGACATTATAATCAAAAAGCACATTCTGATTTTAGCCTTACCAATTTATGGTTCAATAAAATGCAGGATTTTATTTCTGAACCTGTATCAGAATCTAATTTACAAAAATATGCCATATATAATTAATATTCTTGAGGCCTTCAGAATAGCAGGCAAGTCAAAAAAAATTGAAGTGAAGAACAGCAAGATATCTATGAAGCCTATTTTCCAAGTTTAATTTAGAATGGCAGAAAAGACATTGCAAATTTTTGCTGTGAGTAGAACCATATAATTTCATTGATCCAGTTCTTATGTAGCTTCAAATACTTCATCAAAAATCCAACTGTTTTCATTCAATTCAAATCTGACCTACTCTAGTACAATGTAAATGTTAAACAAATGAAGATAAAACACTTACTTAGGACTGAATTTTCCGCCATTGTGAACAATAAGTACTTTCTTACCCAGTAGGTAGTCCTGTCAGCTAATGACATCAGAACAACTATTTGAAATGAGACCAAGAGTTGATTTAACCCAACACCCTCTCACCATCAGTGGCAAAAAAAAAAAAAAATGCTTGTTTGCACTTTCAGTCAAGATACTGCATGAAATATGTGAGATTCCCAGAGCTGCATAACACAGCCTTTAATTTCTCACCCTTTAGGCTAAATTACGTTTATCATTATACAATTTGCAAAGTCTGACCTGGATTATCATCTTGCCATTTCATGAAGTAGAATAAAAATCAAGGTATCCATGTTATAGGTAACTGTGATACTGTAAAAATGAATCTAATGGTCTTGGGATTTCATTTTTAACTTTCTGCTTAATCTGTACACCATTTGACTTGCGTTTTTTAATGAGATAATGACACACAAGAAGGATAACATTAATATTGAATTGAATGAAATTACAGTTAGGAAAACATAAAGGTTTATTTTTATGGCCCAAATACCATTTCAAAATTTCACCTTGATGTTTCATTGTGGATTTTTTTAATAGAAAAAATATAGACATTTTTTAGAATAACGAACCTCTAGAAACATTTAACTTTAGAATATCTTCATTATTTCATCAAAATATCTGGTAGAAATATCTCAGTGTCATGCCAGAAGTAAGGAAGCTGGACTTTTAGGCAAAGCACAGATAGCAGTAATCTCAGTCTTCCATCTGTCCTGATACCGGCATTATACAAATTTGTATAATTAATGCCTCCACAGAAAAGATGGAAAAGGACAACAGAGATACTTTCAAAAACTTCAGGGACCAGACTTTACTGAGTTCCTATTGTTTTGAACATTCTCTGTGACTGATATATTTTACCAGCATAAAAGTGGAAATAACTGTATTGGCTTCAATGGAAAGTTAAGGAGTAATGGTTTTGTTTTGATTTTAGCCAGACCTTAGAAAAGGATGTTATTACAAAAGTGTGCTTGTAAAATTTGCTAAGTAGTGTCAGTAGAGAGTCTTTAAATTAACACTGTTCATATGTGGCCTAGCTCTGATTATTTTTGCTGATTACTGAGTTGTATGACACAATATTCTATATTAGTTATGTAAGTCATTATTCTAGCTACTGGTATAATGTTCAGATTTTATTTAAATATTTGAAAATATAAATATTTGAAATTCCTTTTTGAAAATTGAAAATTCATATTTCCTGAACGTATCTCACTATATCTTTTGACACAATTAAAAATTAATTTCCTCTACATATTTCTGACATACTTCATGGAAACTCAATTGCAATAGAATTTGCCTCAGCTTATGATGCTTAGGGAACTACATTTTGGTTAGTTTTGCGGTGTTAAATGAGCCTAAATTTATAAAATATTTACTTACACACATAAAAATAACAAATATGGCTTTGTCTTAGGACTTTTTTTTTTTTTTTCCTTTGAACTCCTATTTCTGATTCCTCCGTTCGGATCAAGCATATACACTTACTTTGTATCATTTCTCTTTATTACCCACAAAAATGTTTTCACTTTGTTCTGACTACCATCTCAGGTTGCTGTCTCCTTAAATGCACAGCAACAACTTGGATGAGAGACTGGATATAAAATGGGAGCAGACTTTATACTGCAGGGAAAACAAGTGAAACAGAAACTCACATGCACAGCAGTTTTTGTCCCAAGTGGGAGCTGGGGAGCTCAGGAGCTCAGTGAATCACAGCCAGGGAGCTCACAGCAGCAGTTTTATTGCTTGTGCTGCAGGGGCTGCAAAGGCAGCTCATCCCCTGCCTTGCTGCATCTCTCTGTGGGATTACTCTCTCTCACACACAGAAGACATGCAGGTGGTAGAGCCTTTTTTCTCTTGAAAACAACAGCTGCGTAGCAAAAGTCAAGAAGAAAACTCCAGCTGGAGGGCTAGGTCTTGACATTTCACTTCCTTCTGCAGAACCAATAATGACACTGGACACAGCTGCCAAGCTCTCATTTCATTTTTTTACCTGAGAAATGTTGTCTTAACATCCATGGAAAGTATTCATTTGGTTTTCAGTTTTATCTCACCTGGGATTTTTTAAATGAAAAAATGCAGAAAATGAAATGGCACAAAGTCTAGAAGTCACAGCACTGAAATCCTTTTGTTTAGAAGTGGCCTAATGAAGTTAATGAACGTTTTCAAATGTCTTTCTGCTTCTTGGAGCATCACTGAATCCATCTGAAATTCATTGCCCTCATACAGCAGGTGCAATTGTCAGGAACTGTCATCTTTAGACTGCCCTAGGTGTTGTTTCCTCACTAGAGCTAAAATTCATTTTCTGTCTTTGTCTAGCAGAGACCTTATGGTCTGAATTTGCCCCATCTCTTAGTGGGCACTAAGTAAGGTGAGCACCTTACTTAGCCAGGTAGTTTCCCTAGGTTTGGTAAATGGTCAGCACTGAGGGAGGGTGACTGCCCTTAGAAGAGGTGCAGAGCCTTCCAGGGGTGTTTGTACCAAATTTTGGCTAAATGAGGAATTCAGGGTGTCTGTGTTCCTTAGCTAAGTGTCCCATTTATGCATCTGGGGTGGACAGTGTAGGTTACACAATGTAACTGCTGCACACTTCGATACAGATTTCACTGAGATTTTATATATCTAAAATGTCACTAAGAAATGAACTACATTCTGCATCACAGCTACGAAATTATTAAAATTTGCCTTTTTTGTTTACTTCTAGCTACCTCAGAGAACCCGCATGAACACAGTAAGTACCAAGGCAATATAGAATATTGTTATTTTAACTTACAGAAGGAAGGTATTTCCTTATTTTTACAAAGTTTTAGCAGCTTAAGCAACTCAAACTCACACAATATTTTGACTTGTGAAACTGGTTTCAGTGACTCGCTCTGTTAGTGCAGGACCAGGTGTGTTTCACAGGTTCCAGTTTGCATGGAAACCATTTCCCAGTTCAGCTGAGACCCATGCTTTTTTCTCCATGGCAGCTTCACACTGGGAAACAATTAAGGGGGCCACAGATGGGGAAGGGTCTCTGCAATTCTCTGGCCAGGCCTTGGGTACAGGTTTTTGAGATTTATTTCTTGGTATGCTGCAATGCTGGCCTGCTGCACAGCTTAGACTTCAGAGCTACAAATCAGAATTAAACATACTTTTAACATTCCTCTGAAATATTTTCTGTGTCATAATGGTTGGGATCTGGATAGCACACTGTTTTTAAATAGCACAAAATTGCATACATGTTGTATTATAATACAGGGTAATATCCATTATTATTAGTGCTTCACAATATATTTATGGGATCCTCATACTAGCTAGAATGAAGAAAATTAGCTGTAGTCCAGCCAAATCCAGGACAAAGAGAAGCATGGAAAGCTTTTTTTTTTTTTTTTTTTCTTTTATGCAGGATACTTAACATTTATTTGTCATTCTTTATGAGAAAACCCCACTTCTGGTGTAATAAAAACTGCCATCGTTTCTGTATTGAACATCAAGGGGAAATTTTCTATACAGAAGATAAGTGATAGCAATCACAGTCAATACTAGAAGCAATTAATAATTTTAGAAATTCTATTATCTTTCTAAAAATCCACAGAAAATAATTAAACCACATTAAAAAGTTAAAAAACACTTTTCGTTATTTTAATTTTATAGGGAAAGAATAGTTCAAGATCATTTCTTGAGAAATATAGTTATCAAAAAATTCTTCTCAAGTCTAATGGGAATATGTAATGCAAAGTAATATTTAAAACTATAATGGGAAACTTTTATTTTTGAAATCTTCCAAAAATTAAAATGCTTTCTAATGTAGGGGTTCTCATTTTCAGAGCATGAACGTGTTAAACATGAAAAAGCTGTCTCTCAGAATAAGCCAGGTAGGTTTGGTGAAGTAACCTCCACTTACACCTGGCTCCACTCAATAAGGATGTGTGTGGTCTGCAAAACTTGGACACTTCCTTGAGCTAGGCACAGGTGTTTTGCTTTGTGCCATTGGGTTTTTTCAGTGCCTTGGAGACGAGCAAAAATGAATGTGACATTTAACTTTAAGGATTCAACTGTCACAGTTTTTCCCTGTTCTTGTGACTTTTCTCACTGGTGTAGTAAAAAGCATTAGCAAAACCCATTTCCCAGAGTGTGAGGAAGAAGTGCTGTAATGCCCTGCACTACATCAAAGATGTGCACTGGGAATTAACCCTACTCAACCCTTTCAGTAAATTAGTTATTACATTATGTGAGTGTGGTCCCCCAAAAAGGAGAAGGTACAATCTCATTGAGTACACAGTCTGCAGTAGAGTCAGCCTCCAGGTCCTGACACTCAAAAGTAACAGGAGCTGAGCTAAGAGCAATACTAATCCTGGACTGAATGTGCACTTGGGTAAACTGTAAGTAATACCTGGCTGCAGTGAGCAGGGCAAAGGGTCCCCCTTTCAAACCAGGACTCCGTTCTAATAATATTTTTTGAGGAGAAAGGCACTCAAGGATCCACAGCTGGGTCTGGTGTGAATTAACAAGACTAAAAGGGTAACCTCACAGAAAACTCAGTTATTGATGCTCAGCTTACATCACTCCTGAGTGGTTTTCCAGTCCCCACTCCTGAAGCAGTGGGGATTGGAAGGCAAGTATCCACATCCCAGTGACCTTTGCTGGAAGTGCTGCTATTTGAACTTCTCACTGAAATGAAGTGCTCAGGAATAAGTGATTAAATAAACCATTTATACCTTATGTGTTCAATGATAAGCAAGCAGGCTTTTTTTCATTAATTTTTTTCCTATTTTTTTTAAGAAATAAATTTCTCCTATGTATTTAGTACTTTCCTCATTCATTTTTCTAACGTACAGTATTCTACCTTGTAAGTTAAATATTTTCATAGACATTTTCAGGTTTCCTGGAAGGCTTGAGGACCTGATTTAGTGAAGATGTATTGGTTTTGAGTCAATAGGGAAAAAATATTTCTCTTCTTCTTTCTAAGACACATAGGCCAAGCTTTTTATTCAACTCATTGATCACTTTTTGTGTACTAGCATAATGCTTCAGACATTAGGTGAATTCAGCCAAGGCAGGAATGAGGAAGCCAAGTTTGGTGGCCACAGTAGTGGCCAGAAAGTGGGTTGCCTGGATGGATGACATGATCACTCACCTTTCCTGCTAAATGAAATCAGTCCTGCTGCACAATTAGCCCAATCTCATCCACATAAATGCAGGAAAATAAGTTTCCTTGGTAGGGCATTCTCAAACATCAGAGCACTGTGTCACAAACCAATATATTGGACTGATTAGGATTTTACTCTCCCATACTACAGTACATCCAGATCCCAAGCCCTTGGTATTTAGGTGCTTGAAGGGAAAAAAAATAGGAAAATGCTTGCTAAATTTCCTTTAGCATAAAATCTCTATTCTCAGATGACAAATCGTTGCTTTGGAGAACAGTGGCTGTTTTGAGTTTCACTTGATGACTGGAAGTATTAATCTGCAGGCACTGGTAGTAATAGTGCTTCTTCCTGCTGTGTGCCAAGGAGTGCTCTTGAGTTAACAGCTTGAATTATAAAAGCTTCATTCTGAACAAAACAGTGGCTTCCTTTTTCACCTTGATTCAGTGCAGCTTCAAACCATTTTTCTTATGCCTCCTGCCGTCAGACTTAGAAGTATCACATGACTGAAATACTATAGAATTTCATAAAATATATTGATCCCATAGGGAAAAGTTTAAATATAGAGTGTTTTGTGTATGTCAGTGAAAGCAAGTAAAGCAAGGGAATCCATTCCTGATGTAGTTCTGCTGAAACTGCCTGCAATACACAGAGAAATGTTTACAGCCTTATTTTTTCCATTTAAATTAGGTACACCAGGGAAAAAAATTAATATTAATGGTTGTAATGCTGCAAAACTGGAGCCCTGCAGAGCAAATAAATTCTCTTCAATGAAAGATTTCAGAACTTTAAACTTTGGGCTTACTCAAAACCAGTATTTTTTTTTTTAATATTCATAACATTTATTTTTTTTACTCTTTATGTCTTTATGAAGTCCTCAAAATTGTTTAATTTTTTATTTGGAAGACTCCCCATGATATGGTAAAAAAAGAATACAGGAAAAAATTAGAAATATTACTTCTGTTCTTGGCAAAATAATATGTATTATCCTCATCATATGTTTTTCTCTGCTTTTCCTCATTCTGAATGTGGTGAACAGATTGATTTTATAAAGCTTCCTGATGTCTTGAAGTATATTCCCTTATAAGACAGTTCTCCTTAAGTCTGGACATTCTACTCCTTCAGTTTCCCTTCTGGCTACAACCAGTGGCTGGAAACTCAGAGAAAAAGCCAAGCAGCCGCCACCTATAGTTCTGCCAGGGAATGCATCAGGGTGTTCTCCAGTGGAATCAGCAGAGCAATATTTGCTGCGTGGTTAGGTTCCAGAATAGGTAGGTGAATGAATACCAAAGAATTACTGTGTTAATTCCCAGATGAATGCAAATCCACAGGCCTGTCCAGTTTTCAAGATAAATTCATTCTGAGAAGAAACACTGCCCCTAGTTTCAAATCAATCAGATATGCCATCCACTCACAAACTTATTTCCTTACTTATTTCCTCACAGACTTGTTATCCCAGAGTTACAAATCAAATATTGCTGTACATTCTCAACAGAATTAGGAAAGGAAAAATATCTTATTTAGTGTTCAAAAGTGTCAGGATAATATCCAAAGAAAGAGAACCCTTTTTCTTTTTACTTGTCATTAATCCAGGGCCTTTGTTTAAAGGCAATGTACCTTTTTCTTCTGTATTGGTACATAGAACATTTAATGTCCCAATCTAAATTGGTGAAATACACTGTTATATCTTAATGCTGCTCTAACAGCAGGAAAAAAAGACACTTTCTCTCAATAAGCTGCATCTTCAAGCTGCTGGTTGTGCTATAAAACAGTTCTAGCTCCACAGACAACATGGAGATGAGATTTTGACTTCATGGCTTTCATAAGAATCTGACAGTAACAATAGCTGAGTAAAGGGGATAAAAGTGCCCTAACCTTAATACAAATTAAGAGAAATTAAATTGACACACACCAGAAAGCAAATGAAAAGCACAGCAATGCTATGTTTAATTTCCAAATAATAGAAAATATTAGTAACTGGAGAGCTTTATCCCTCCCTATATTTGACCCCATCAGTACTGACTTTCTTCCAGAAACAGACCAAACAAGCAAGAGATGGGGACCAAGAGATATCTGCCCGACCTGATCTCCGCACAGTCATTGTCATCTTTGTTCTGATGCCTTTCAGAGGTCTTAGTGGAAAGGAAGGGGCCAGAGGCAGGCGGCTGCAAACTGCTTTCAGCAAGAGGAATGGCAAACACAGTCTGACTGTGTCTTAAGCATATTTAAGAATTTAGGAATGTATGTGATTCTTGAAAGGTAGAGTTTAGGAGAGGAGCTTTAATTCAATTATGGAAAAAGACATAAAATGGAGTAGAACTATAAAAGGATGACATGGGGTGAATTTAAAATCAACCAAACTGGGCAGAGTAGAAATCTGAACATAAACATCCCAGTTTCCACCTAACTGGGACACTGGGAAGGTAAAAAAAACCCCACTTGACTAGAAAGTGTAATCCCACCAACTTACTTGCAGAAGAAGTTCAGGTCTGGTGGCCACATCATCTGAGAATTATGCTGAGCAAATCCACAGGCAGCTCAAGAGCATGTGGGCTTGGGCAGCTTTTCCTATAAGATTAGCAGAACTTCAAGGCTGCTCCAAGGTCCTGTGACAGACGTCCAGCTAGGTCTAGGTAGGCTTGTCCAGTAGCAGGTGGCATGGACTGTCCCATGTGTCCCCCTGTGAGCTACTGCGTTCTGGGGCATCTCCATACCTTTTTCATCTTCAGAGTGCAGACACATGTGAATACCTCCACCCTTGTTGGGAGTTAGGCAGCCTCAAAAGTTCTAGAAGGTATCTAGAAGTTCTTAGTGTTGTTTAATACTGAAATACCAAACTGTTGGTAGACACTCAGGAAAGTGCTGCTGGCAAAGGTGTAATGGATGCAGGAATAGGATGGCTTCCACCTGCGTGCCTGCCTGAAGGACGCTGAAGGGTATGCGGCTGTTTTCCAGCAGCTGAGACATTAGTCCCAGTAATTTACTTTTTCCATGAAAATGATCTCACCATGCAGTCAGAACACATAATGCCTGCCTGCTGTTTTACAGTGCTATAATGGGATAGTGATGGTGAAGACATGCATTTATTTTGTCATTGTGAACCATATGCATAATATCACCTATAGAAATATTTTTCCAATTATATGAACCTGTGCTAATACATTGTGATTTTAATGCTGCTTTCACGATACAGAGGAGAAAATGAAACAGCAAAAGACAACTCCCACTGAGAAGTCAGGTAAGAATAAGTGATTCTCTCCTGATTTATGGAGAGGGAGAGGGAGTATTAAACACTATTCAGCACTCATCTAGTGTACTATATTTGCATTCCAATATTTTTTACATGTTTTGAAATGCGTAACTGATAACAAAGAAAAACCAGCTGAGTGGAAATTGCAGCTTCTGTTTTCCTAAGAATTGTCTTTTCAATGATGAAGACTGGTCAAGGCCTTTCAGCTCCTTTGCTGCTTGTTCCAGCCTCTCATTAGCCAGAGCTGGGCTAATGAAATGAGGTGTAGCTGTAAATCAGACTTCTGAAAGGGTCCCAAATATGAGGATAAATTACCAGATGGATTAGGACTTTGAATCAGTCTCATGGAGAAAATATTTTTGGGACTAAACTCTAAACCTTTGAGTCTTATCTGTGATTAAGACCTCATAGTTTTTTTAATGTAATGCTGACAGGAAAAAAAATCAAGTAATAATGAATGTTCTGGAAGCTGTCAGGAGTCACCCAAGGAATTATAACATTCTCAACATCACTGGCAGTCGACACAAAGCTGTCTTAACTTTAGGGGTTTGAATGCTGTGCATCCCTGCACAAGTAGGGGAAGCTAAGAACAAGTGAGAACTGACTCTGACAAAATGCTTGAATGTTAAAAAGTAAGGGGGGAAAGAGTATATTTTTTTTTCTTTCTGTATCTAACTATTACAATTTTACCTCTTTTGTCTTCTGTAGCCCAGGCAAAGCCAACAAGTATGTTATTCTTACCTTAATCAGAAAAATTCCTGTAAAATTGTTGAATACATGTATCTTATTTTTTACTTTCACATAAGGAAGCATGCCTTAGTTTTGCTTAAAATTATAGTGTCTTTATCACCACGTCTCCCATTCCTTTCATTTAACATACTGTCTTGTAATTGCTATTTAAAAGCCCATTTGACATAACCAATTGCTTCAGTGCAGGAGAGAATTCATTCTACACTTCCCATATCAAAATTCCCATCAACTAAAATTCATATAGGATTTACAAGTCTTTTAAAAATTACTATTAAAAATTACCTGGCTTGAATAAATGCTTTTGCTAAGTTAAAAAAGAAAAATAGAGATTAATATTAACTGCATCCTGAATTCTTCTCAGTCAAAAAGGACTCAAGAGAGTCAATACTATAACTTACCACACAGCCTGCTTGTTGATTTTCTATACCTTTGACACCTTCAGAATTGAGATTCAACTACAAGAATAATAATTAAAACTGTCAATTAATTGCCCAAATAATTTAATGATCAAAAAGTCCAGATATGGGAAATTAATCACTCTTCACTGAACCAATTTTTCATTCATGCTTCATAAGAGTGTTTCCCGTTTGAAATTCTGTATCATGTGTTCATCTCAGCATTTCTCAACTTGTCTCCCCACCTGAAATCACAGCTACCAGGAGTTCAATTATTCATCTGAGTAGCAGAAAGGCTGAGGCATATTGCCCTTTTTTCAGAGGCCATTCACATTTTCAACACTTTCCACTTTACAGCATGCTTTTGGGTCAAAAGGAAAGCGATGCACTGTCCTTGAGCTGTGGAAACATCACCTGGGAACAAGGCCAGCAGAGCTGTCCATTGATTCCACAGCCATAAAATGTATTTTGGCCCCAGTTGCCATTGCATAGCTGCTACTGTGCTGTGAGATCTGTGTGGTGGGGTTTTTTTCTAAGTCTGACTTTTGTTTGTTAAACCTATTTGACAAAAAAAAAGCTTCTTCAACTTTTCTATTTCCAGCAACATAACATAAATTATAATTTTTTTCAGTAATAATTGTGAAGTAGAAGGATGGGAAAAGGGGTAGGGAAGCAGACATGTGGAGATGAGATGCATTTTCCACACCTAAATATAATTGATTCATATGTAATGGTATGTGTCCAAGACTTTGGGAATTCCACTCAAGTATATCTGAATCAAGAACAAAGGATGAGTGAACAGTTGATCTGCACTCTCCTTTCCAATAATCAAAATTGAAAATGGATGAAAATTACATTTCAGAAATTACTTGCTTCTTCCTTAAGACACATCCATGACTCGTAGTAGCATTAATAGTGGCTATATTTGTGAGGCTAGGTGCAGTACTAATGAACTTTGCTACTTTGTGGCAGATCTCTCAGTGGATAATTTTTTAATAACCATTCATTTGTGGGCTTCTTTTTCAAAATAACAGCATGAAGCAAGAGAAGGGAAATGTTTAATCCTGAAAAACATACATGTAATTCTTCTTACTGAAAAAAAAAAAAAAAAAAAAAAAAAAAGGGCAAATTAACTGAGAAACATTATGGCAATTTTGTTATGCTATTGTTTTTTGTTTAGAGCATGAAACAGTCAAACATGAAAAAGATGTTCCCCTTACAAAACCAGGTAAGCACTCCTGCATTTTATTTTGCATATTAGTTTTGAAATGTTATTTAAAGAAATAGTGAAATACAATTGCATATGACAAATGACAAAACCATTGTCCTGTGGTCTGTTTTGATGTATAGCATGGCCCTGACATGCCGTACCACAAACTGAATAGCACAGCACATACTTGTAATGCTGGTCGTCATTTTAAGATATAGATCTATGTACATATCAAAGGTCACATTTCTGCTTCTGTAATTCCATTGATGTCAAAGGCATATGTCAGCAAAGAATATGAACAGCTTTCTGAAACTGCTTCCTTTAAATGGCTAAATTTTGCTAAATATTTGTGGGGAGATGCCTTTTATTTGGACTTCACAAAACAGTTAACCTCCCAGGATGAGCAACACTTAAATTTTCATCCATTGCAGTTATCATATGATATAGGCTTTAGATCTTGATCTAGCACCATCCATAATCTGTGGTAAATGTCTCTGATATCACAGCTCATGCACAGTCGCACTTGCATGAGACAGAGCAAAACGATGCTGGTATAGGAAGGAGCATTGCTCAATTTCACTGTAGACTATCATCATGGGCTTAAAAAATGTCTGCTCCATGCTTCTTCATGAAAGGAAATAAGTGAAGAATTAAAATTTTTGTTGTTAATATTAGTCATACTTAACTCTAGCAAAACAATTTCAGTCCGTAAATGAGAACACCCCTACTAATATCATTCATTATTAGATTGTTATTAATTACTATGAGATTAGTAAAAATATGTTCTGATACATGGAAACATATAGGACAAATAAAGCCCTTGTCTGTCATAACAATATTATGCTGAACCTGACCTGACTGTTTTGACCATTTTTCTTTCCTCTTTTTACTTCCCAGTCAAACCAAAAAACACTGCAAGTAGGTGTAATGGCTTATTTCTTATGGAATATAAACCTTCTTTTCAGATGCATGTTCTCTAAATTTGCATTTTTGCAATTTTGTCATGTTAGATAATGCTATTTTCTTGCTTATACTACAGATACTCTTGTATTCTGTCTGCTTACTGACAGCCAAACACAACTAAATCAAGCACATTTATAATGCAATATTGTGAAGATGCAAGATTCAAACTCTGTTTGCAATATTTGCTCCCTAGAAAATAATGTAAATTACACTGGTAGCAAAACCGATATTCTGGTGGGTTTAGATGAGTGTAGATGTATAATTTGTATTTATGCAAATATACTGTTTATTGAAAACAAGAAAATAGCATGTAGCATAACTGAATTAGACAACCTTTTCCTTAATTCTTTTACCATTTGGAAATTACTTACATCATTATTTCACTAAGCATGTTGTTGGCCTTCTTCCAGTAAAAGCTTTTTTTAAATAAAAAACCTAAATTAAATTAAAGAAGAGAAAGAAATATTTCAAAGTTATATTAGTTTTAAGGAGGATTCAAGGGGAATTTGTCACATTACAAAAGCTTTCACTGAAGTCATGGAATAATGTCCTTTCTAAGGTCATTTTTAAGGAAGACTTCTGAACAGATGAAGACTGGGATCTGTGCTTATTGTGGCAAGCCATTACACATTACATACTGCAAAGCATGGTCAGACAAGAATCAGAAGGACAGTGTTTGTACTGCATGCTTTGAATTGTGAAAATGCTGAAGTATGGACCTTCACAGATGAATTAGTTGTTGGCTCTCTAGCACAGGATCTGTGGGGATTTTTGGGTGCTGTGCCTGGCACATCAAGACCAAACCATGTCTTATTCTGGTGGAAAGTGAACTGAAGACAAGCCAAAGCAAATTTATTTGCTTAAACTTCCTAGACCAGTCACCTGTGCTAGGTTCCTAAAGTCAGAGAGGATGAATCCTGCCCTGAAACACCTGTAGGAAAAATGTTACTCTGAACCCCAGATGTAAAGTGAAAGTGTGAGCACAAGGTATCTGAAATGTGCTTACACTGAAGGATCTCCTTCAGTCCTGAACAGCAATGTTCCATTTTCAAGTTATTATTGCAAAATTATTACTTTGTGTGAAGCTATCCATGGGCCTATTTCCATTTTTGCAAGTATTTTAAGAAAATTTTGCTCTATTTAATTCTAATATTCACTTTTGCTCAGTCTTGTTTTCTCTAAATCTGCTTACTGACATTACTATAATGTCTTCTGTAGTGATTTATCTAAAAGACCCAGTGATAGCACTCACTACGGTTAGAGGCTCATCACAGATTTAAGTGACTAATTCCTTATGTTTTCATCATAAAAATCACTGTCTACAATGCTTTTTTAACAAGAGTTATGTTACCCTGGTATATTGTGAATATAAGGAATAGCCAGGATATTTTACCTTGGCCTTTGCTGCTTGAAATTACTATAAGGGTTTACAATGCCTTTAGAAAAATAAAAAAAATTTTAAAAAAATTCAAAAAAAAATAAAAAAAGAGAATGAAAAAACAGGAACAAGCAGAGCTATGACCATTTACAAAAGTAATTCTCTATACACTGTCCCTTTTTGAGCAAACCATCCTTGAATAGATCAAGCTTAAGATTTTAAACACTACAGCTATCTATTTTATATTGATTTTCTCCACTTAAATGAGAACATTTAGTTGGATCAGTGCCTTCTTTATTTATAGAGGTCTATATAGCTTTGCTTCATGTATTTCTTAGCCAGGTGTACAGTGTACTTACCACAACATGAATGTAGCTGTCATGTAATTCAGTATGAGATGTAGCAATGGACACAAAATACTCACTGATTTTGGAGTTCAGGTCCAGTGGAATGTAAAATAAATTAATATATTTATCCTGGGCCGAATTCATTCACACAGTTCATCTTGTTCAGTCTTACTATAAAAGCAAATGTGGTTTAAGTTAGTAAAGAAATTGGGTCATTAGGGAATGCAGGTATAAACAGAAAGACAAGGCTGAGTTTGAAAACTACCCAATTTAACAACACAGAAAATTTCATAGTAAGCCATGATCTAACCTGGCAGGCAGATATATGCTGCACAGCCACTCACTCAATTTTAAAAGCAATTAGTAAATCATCTTGTTTTTCACTCTTTCTGTTTTAGTGTACAGGAGAGTCTTGACAGCCGTACATCAAACTTGAATGTGTAGTGAAACTGAATTAAGTCTCTGCATACTGACTAAAGACTCACAAGTTGTAAGACATTACCTTTAACAGAAAACAAAGCTGGTGGCAGATCTCACACATGCAGGAAGCCCCATAATAGGGGTAATATGTGTCTCAATGTTCTCAGAGTAAGTGGAAGTGTGTTGATGCATTGAGAAGAGGAAATGGCCCTTACATTTCATACAACAGAGATTCAAACCTACTGCCCTTCAGGTCAACAGTCATCCTGTACCTGACTGTCCAAGGAAATCAATTAATCCTAAATTAGGGTACGTCCACATAACTGGGCCCATCCAGATCCCTCAGAGAGACACTTCCTCAGCTAAGAAGTGAGAGCATGAAACCCTTTCCTAGATTTAGTACCTTAGAAAAAAATCTTAGCTTTTTCTTCTGAAAATGAAAAAAATTTATTAATTATTCCATGAGTCACAATGTGTCATCTTTAAGAAGCTATGAGCAAGATCATAAGCCAAAAGGTAAATATTAAAGGACTTTAGCATGTTAGTATTTAATAGCAACAAAACTGGCCTTTGTTGAATGCCCATGGTGTCCAAGCATTGAGCACTGACATTTACACTTGGTCTCCTTATGGGTCAAGACTTGAGTGAAAGTTTCCTGGGATGAGTTAGGGAGAATGATGCTTAATTGCTCAGTCTTCCTGTGGAAAAAGCATTGACTGAAACATTTTTACCTTGGTGTGAGCTCATATTCATCTGAAGCCAAAACTCAGCAGGAAGATAGTACAGAGATAGTTCAGTCCAGGAAATACCCTTAAATGCTTTATGATCTTATTCCTTTTTTGTCCTGCTCTAAGTTCTAGGAAGAGAGGCTTTACTTTTTCTTTCAAATCGTATTCTTACATAAAACTGGGACTAATGAAGCAGTGATGGGTAAAAATTATTGGATTCAAAATGACAATGTAATTAATTTATTTCATTTAAAATGAGTGATGATGATTTACACCAGAGAATTTCTATCCATTGGATTGACAAATTTTCATCAATTATTTTGGGTATTATAATAGCACAGGAATATAAGCTTCTCTTGTGCTAGGTGGAGTGGAAAGATGCCAAAATCTCTCAAGAGATTTTATTCTTAAAATGCAAGTCAAACTGCTTGTGTGGGAGAAACACTTAGGGGTCAATGCCATCTATTCAAGGTCAGTGTCAGTCTTTGGTTGGGAAGTGCGGATGATAAGAAAAGAGAGGTAACAATTAAGCTGAATGCATTTTTGGAAAATAGCATAGTCAGCTATAACCTTAAAGGCACACTTAAAAATGAGTCTAAAAATGAGTTTAAATATTTGCTAGCTGGAAAGTTTTGGTTGGTGCAGTGTTTGCATTTGCAAGAATCATTGTATGCTGCATTATAGTACTTCAAAGAGTGAGACTGTTGGCTTTCAGTGTGAAATTCTACATACACGCCCATTGTTAAGGCACATTTGTTTGTAAATTAATACCCCGCAGAAAAGTTGCAGATGAAAGAGAAGATCTATTTAAATGGTTGCTTGTCCTGACAAAACATGGTACTGAAATTCTTGTTCTTTTCCTTCCCTTCCCCGCCCCCTTTCTCTTCATTACTTGTTATTTTCCTGGAGAGCCAACAGCTGAAATCCCAACATCAGGTAAATATTGCATTTTTCTAGTATGCCTCATGGAAAGAACTAATGACCATACCAGCGTTGATTAAAGCACTTCCTCATCAGCAAGGAACAGGGATAACATAAAGCAGCATGGGTGAAGTGAGAGCACTGCAGCTACAGAGGTCTCTGCCGTGGGCTCTTCTTTCCATCTGATTATGTGATTTTCACTGTTCACCTTCTGCAGCATGTTTTGGTGAGCTAACACAGGTGATCCTCACTGAAAGGGCTGGTGTGAATCAAGTGACACATGGGCCAGAGGACAATGAAGAAGGTGTTATTACAACTGGCTGGATGATGCAAAGTGCAAATGAACCATTTGAAGGCAGACAGCTATTTTTCTGCTGTAGTCAACAGGGAATACTGAAAAGGGCTCAGGTGCCTGAAGTGATATACTTTGCTTAATTTCAATCTGCCTTGATTGTTTGAATGGAGTCACAGACCAAATGCGTTTGCAGCTGGGGAAAAAGGACGAGGAAAAGGAAACAGCACATGCTCTAAGTGAATGTAGACTAGGAAAAACACCTCAATAAAATTAAAAAAAAAAATCCTCAATAGAATAAATCACAATCTATTGCTGCAACACTTCTGAATGATCACATATGTCAGTTCTAAAGGTCCATCTAGCTTCATATCCTGGGGATTTTTGTTTGTTTATTTCTTTCAGGTATTTGAGATCACTCTGGGAGACTAAGAAGCAAGCAATAGGCAGAGTCCTTCCCTAGTGTATTTTCGCAACAAGCAAATAGGTAAATCTGGCAGTAGTTAAGGAATTGCAGAAGTGCTAAAGTCTTTATCAGGATTTTCTAAACTACTCTGCAACCAGCAATATTCAAACAATTTCTAACCACTCTACACAAATCCCAGAACTGCTAGTGCCACTAAGTGTAGCAGGCGCTGTTGCAATATTACAGACATTGTAAACATGCCATGAGACACATTTACCACAGTAATTCTTCCAGGGAAATTACCAGTGAGAGAATCTTTGCACAATGTACTTACTGTAAAAGCCCTGTATTTCTGATGCTTGTCACTTAATGTTATTTCTTTTCAAATCTTTCTAGCCACAAAAAAACCAAAGACAATTAAGGAAAAAGAAGGTAGGAATTTATTCTATATGTTCATATATATGTAGAAGATCACAATAGAAATACTATGAGATTGCAAATTTGCATGTATTGTTGTTTGAGGCAACGCCTAAAATATCTGTGTTAATTCTGAAAGAATTTTACTTGAAAACTCTAGGCAAAATCTATTCAACAGTCAGTTTACCAAACTTTAACTCTGTTACTTTTTCTTTGTAGAGAAAAAAACCGTGAAGAAACAGCTGAAAGATGAAAAAACTAAAGGTAATAAAGGGATGAAAATCTCTGCAAATAGCAATAAAAATGCAAACATTCAGGTTTGGAGGATTTTATGGGATAAGAAAGAGGAGCTTTTTTAGTCTTTATACATACATGCAAGTAAACCAAAATGATGAAATGGTACATAAATCCCCAGTAATTGAATGTCTGGTGTCTCCTTTGCATATGAGTATCAAGGATTACATCAGTGCATCCAGTCCGGCTGCAGCGGTGCCCTGCCTGTGACCCTCCCTGGCTGGCACAGCAGGGACCTGTCCAGCCCCCCCAGCACTGCAGCCCAGCATCAGGAGGCCCCACCCAGACTGCCCTTGTGCTCCCTAATGAGGCAGTGCAAAGTTCATTTCCACAGCTTGTCTGGTGCCTGAGGTCACCAGCATCTTTCTGTAAAATAACAACGCTGATACGCAGCAACTACACAAGAAGCCCGTTTTTATACACAAGACAGACATCACGATCACACATATTCTGGCTAACTTCTTGGTCACAGCACTGCCTTGATTGTTTCCTCACAGTAATATGCAAATAAGGAAATCCTTTTTGATATACTTCTAAAGATAATTAATAGCAATAAATTACAGTATTTTATTAGGTAAGTGATTAAAGGCATAAATATCTTCTCTACATTGATTAAATGCAATGACTTGCATATAAAATTTGCATATTGATATCTCAAACCTCAAAGGATAGCAGTAGCACTGGTGCCAGTTCACTATACTGTCTAGAAGCAGTTTGCTTGTATGGTTTTACTGGACAGAAAATTTATCTGTTCAAATTATTTACCACAAGAGTCAGGCTTTAAAAAAAAAAAAAATATGGTTTATAGAAATTCTTTTCTGTGAGATGATTCCAAGAAACAAACATGTTTCTTATTGAAATTTATTTCAGTATTTTGACCTGAAACTGCAGATTAATTTATTACCTATGTTTTTTTAATGTGTCCCACCAGTAAAAGAAGATCCACGACATCAAAACCTGACATCAGGTACATGATTTTTTTCTTTATTGTAAAGGATTCAGGAAAGTTGTGGTTTGTTGTTTGGTTTTGTTTGGTTTGTTTTGGGTGGGTTGCTTTTTAAGGGAGATCACACATAATACTTTCACATTTCTAATTCAAGTCTATGGAACAAGATGTGAGACAAGCCAGGCAAATCAAATCCACAAATCTTGTTCCTGTGAAGAATGAATTGCTGAAATGGTATTGCTTTACCACCTTTCTAAATTTTTAAACATATATTCATCTGCTTACCTTATAAAACAAGAGGTCTGTAATTAATATGGCACTGCAGTACTTAAAACTAATATTTCGTTCTCATAGAAAATCTTTTTCATAACAAAGTCACATAGGGAGACACATGTTCAGTTTGTTTTCTCTCACATTAATAAATATTGTCTCCCATCACAATCTGCCCCAACCCCACTCCAGCAAAAATGGTGAATAAAGATGGGCATCTCGGAGAAAATCTCCCTTGGTTGTTTAATGTTTTTACTAGTTTACAACAAAAGGAAATGTATGTTCCAGATTCTTGACTAATATAAATTAAATTAATAACTATGACTTCAGTGGAACTGCATTAATTCATGACTGATAAGGATCAAAGTCTTTAATCTCACCTGACATCTAACTGGTTTACACAGAAAATATGAGCTACATATGAGTATGGTTCCTCCTAATGAAACTTCGTAGTCTTAACCTACTGAGGAAAGTATTTCACTTCTAATTATCCAGACTATCTTATTGTATATGCTTTCTTGACTTCTTCACTGTAAGTAGAATGATTTAGAGTCCTACAATCATGATATAAAATGTCATGTGTAGTCATGTGTATCTATTTATTTAGAAATATCTATTTATCCAAATATAGAAACTTTGAATCATAGAAAAATAAAAAAGATACCTAAGTATAAAACAAGTGCAGAACAATCTGCTTTCAAGGAAGAGAGAGTACAAATTAAGTGCTAAATAAAAGTTGCATTTATTACCATGTGTATTATACAAAAGTATTTGCACGCATGGCTCAGTTTGTTTTACAAGGGAAACAACATTTACAAAAAAGAACAGCTTTACTTTTTTAATCTTATTTTCTTTTATCTGGAACACAGATATATGGAATCAGATATAGACTTTTATTCCCCTTGATTATTATGATATCAACTGACAGATACAGAAGGTAGAATCCATGCTGTCAAAAATTTATTGCTATTTGATGACACAGAATTTTTTTATAGATCAGGAAATGTTAATCATAATATATAACCAGTACATTAAACCAAACATTTTTCCAAGACAGAAAAGAATTCGCCTATGCATCAAAATCTCAAATTTAGTGTAAAATAAAAATGTACTAAAAAATTTCTCTCACTGGACTTTCTCTTGCCCACCACCCTCCTACAAAGTTTACATCATTCAAAAACTGTGTTTCTGTGACTTTCATTTACATTACTTATGTAATGATTGTTTAATTCAGTTGTATGTTATCACTGGGCAATTGTTCTTGGCTGGATGTTTCTCAGATCATAAGCAGCTCTGTGCAAAATCAATTCTTCATAACTGGCTTTGTAAACAGAACTTATCATGTAAGTGATTTTAAAATATTCATTGTCCACCAAAAAGAATACTTAGTTTTCAGACAATGGAGAAAAGTTTTCCAGAAGAACATAAAAGTTACTCCTTTGGATGTTGGTTTTAGGTATTTGCTCAAATTGAGAATTTAAAAGTTTAGACTAAGTCCTAGGTCATGTATACTTGAATTAGAACTTCAATAATGTTCACCTCTCCTGTTTGCAGATTAAGCCAGTGCTTTTTCCCCAGTTCACTGAATACTAATTTTATTTTTCTGATACATGAAATTAGGAAAGGATTTACACATTCTGAGCTAATCTAAAACTTTAAATGGTAAATCTTCATTCAGCCTTCAAAAGCTGGATAGAATCCCATGTTCTTAGATTTTGCTCAGAACTCTTCAACCTTTCCCGAATATTAAATAGCAATCAGATAAAGAAGATTAAGCAATTTTAAAAGCTGTATATAGCTGCAATTTTAGAATGTGCCACATTTGAACAGAATTTTAAGCACTATTGTGCCTTTCATAAATAATGGTGCAATGTGCAGTAGACACTAAATTTCACTCTCCTGTACATCTGCAAGCAATTAATTAGAATGCTTTCCTCTGCTTTTTCCTCCCCTAAATGTCACAGTTGACACCTGTATTGAGGCTGAAATTTACCAACAGCAAAAAAAAAAGGGAATTCTTGGAACTTCATTTTTAGTTATATCTTATAACAAATGTATTTGGAAGCACACAGAAGCAGTTTTTTTGACTCTTGGAATGAAATTTAAGGAGAGTAAAAATTCAACTCTCTAATGAGGATTATCTACCATAATCTTTATATGAACAGCTGCACACTTGTACATGTATTTTTTTTTCAAATCTAACATCAGAGAAAGAAAATCTAAATGGATCAAAAGTTCATTATATTTATCCTAATTACCTTCCAACTGCCCTCTTGAATGAAAACTCTGGAACTAATGTATATTGCATTTATGATACAGTTAGTTTAAAGGGTTGACATTTTTACTGCCCACAGATGTGCAAATGTGGCAGAAATAAAGAGAGGCTGTGTTGCAAGAGCATGAAAAGTGAGAATTCATTAAACTGATACTATTCCCACATGTTTGGTTTGGTTTGGTTTTTTTTGGTTTTTTGTTTGTTTTTTTTTTAATTAGAAAAGCATGTGGGTTACTCTCAAGGTCAGGTGAAACCAAACCAGTCATGATAACTTCCTTGTAGATGTGTCATAAACAGACTTACATAATTTGTGCATCTACCCTCATACATTATTCGAGGTTTGAAACTTTATTTGATGTGGGAACTGTTATGTTTAGTTAAAGAACTTGTACTTCTGTGAAAACTGAAGTTAACATTAAGCAGAGTTGGAACACTTCTTATATGAACATACTATGCAAGAACTTTTATGGAATGAAAAGCACTTCAGCTAGATTTTTCATATACTTCTGCAATGATAGGGATTCTCAAATACAATACCTATTCTCAAATATTTTCTAGCATAAAGAGTAATCATTTCATCATACTATCAATATATATTCAATGCCACATATTAATCACCGTATGAAAACCTCAACAACTGCAGGGGGTGAATTAATTTTATGTCTTAAAAGCATGTGGGAATTGGTTTATTACTAAGGTTGTCTCAGTGCTTTGCACTTTCTGTGTAGTAATATATTTTCCAAAGCAAAGATGATTTCCAAATCTGCAAAAGCAGAAAGTTTTATTTGATGTGAGGTTTGATATGACAGCCATTTGGGAGACTATGAAGGAGGTTTCATCTGTGCTGAGAGCACGTAAACTTGTCAGCAGTGCAATGTGTGAGATTTTTCCCATATATAATTATTTTGAAAGAGAGCAAGATGACTTCATTTTATTCCTTGGTTCTGAAGCTTTTGAAGACTTTGGAGTAAAACATTACATTTTTCATCATTCTGGAGCAGCTAGTTTTGTCAAATTCATTAAGCACAAACATTGGTTATATTCTATAATACAGAAGCATTGAACAACTTTAAAATATTGTGAAATGGTCAAAAGAGAAGGCAAGAACTTTGTCTCTGCAGTGCAGGTAGCTCTCACCTATAGACAGGTGATGAACTGCAGATACTATATTCTCCGCTCTCCTTGCCACCCAGTCTCTGTGTCTCAGATGTATGATGGTTCTGATATACTCTCAGCAGTTTCTTCCAGAAATTCAGCTTCATGAACTTGTACTGACTAGAATTTTCTCACTAGAATTCATCAATAAATCACTAATATTTATGTTGTTGTTTTCTGGACATAAAAAAGTGCGCTGTTTGCTAGAATATCATTAGAAGGAACTGAAACTCTGAGAAGTTTCAGAATTTCTTGTAAAAGACCTGTTCATTAGAAGGAACTGAAACTCTGAGAATTTCTTGTAAAACACCTGTTCTCATTTATTTACAAGACCTGTGTCTCTGTAGGTTATTCTCATTAAGATTTTCATCACACTCCAGTACAAGAATGCAGCATTAGAGCAGGATGAATTGTGCACTAAGGCTGCTTGCAGGAGAGTCCATATAGAATAGCCTCCATTCTGTGGATATACAGGAATGTTCCAACATTTAATGTTGGTCAGAATTGTGAGGACCAAGCCTGTATATGTAGACCTTCCAGCAACTTATTATTAGTCATTCCATTATCCTGAAGTTGGCTTTTAAGCAAATACTTGGAGACTAAATCTCATCAGACTTGTCTAAATGAAGACATGGAGGAATACTGCCCATTTAGAAGATGAATATTTAAAGAGCACAGTTAAACCATGCTAAATGCTGGAGTGGTCATTTATTAAGAACTAAGGTGACCTTGATTTAATTTAGTTTTACCTGCTGTGAAATTTTCACAGAGGCTGCTTTAATTCTGAATGAGCATCTGCACAACATTTTATATGGACTAATTAATCTCTTTTTAATTTACCTTGAATTAATCTTGCTGATTTTTTCTATGTAGAAAAGATGTCCAAGGGGGAAATTTCAGCCAAATTTCGGTAACTAGGTAAAATGAAAACTGTAGGATCTGTCCTGAAATATATTAAATGTCACTGGAAAATTTCTAATAATTATAATAAGTTTTGAAACATAAAATCTGTAAAGACATATCAAAAGGAGAACAAAATAGCATGTTTTATGTTAATGATGAGTTTATAAATAGCCTCTCAGCACAGTGAGATTATAACTTAAATCATGAACTCCAGAGATTCAACTTAAATGCCCAAAGGTTTAAGTTTTATCTTTCAAAACAAAACAACTTCACAGTGAGAATCTACAAGCACTCTGGGCTTTTTCCATGGGAGAGTCTTCAACATCTATCCCTTGCTCTGAATTAATCTTTTTTACTTTTGGCTATATTTGGTAATTTAATTACCTTATCTTGAGTTTATTAATTGTCTATATTTGTT